GGACTTGGCAGGCGCTCTGCTCCGGCGCTCGGGCCCGCGCCAAACCCCAGGAAGAGGTCACGGGCAGGTCAGCCCCGAGACAGACAATAAGCTACTGTGATCTGCCACTAAAATATAAGTAGCTACTAAAAATACCTTTCTGCTGGCGTAGCCTGGTCAGAGTCGCTGCTCTAATAGCATCCGGCACTCTGGGCTGCGTGAGCCGAAGGGAAGCAAGAGCCCTTCTGGCTGCGCACGGCCCGGCGAGGACGAGGAGGGGCTGGAACCTGGCGCAGCCTGGGCAGCAGAAGGAACGGCCGGTTGCCGGCTGCTCCGCTGCCTCCCGGACAGAGAAAAGCCAAGCGCGTTCAGGTTCCCTTCCCTTCCTGCCCTGCCGGAGAGCTGCCTCCCGCACCACTGTCGTGGGCACCCCAGATCTGCCTGCTGCAGCGTGAGCTGTCTTCAGCTCTGTTCAGCCGGTCCTGCTCAAACAAGCTCCTCTGTCCTCCGGACACGCGCTGGTGCCCTGGCACAACATGCATGTTGGAGGCCCGTCCCAGCCTCCAGGGCTGCGTGTTGCGGTGAAGCGAGGCTGCTTGGAGGTTTCCACTGGGAAGTCTGGAGGGCGAATGAGTAGTGGGTGCGTGGCCGGTTCACTCTGCTCCTGCTCATTCTTCCCTTGCAGGTGAGGAAGCACGGGGCCAAGCTTCTGGCCTCCATGGTCAACGGCATGGATGACAAGGATGATCCCCACAACCTGGTCGCGCTGGAGGCCATGTCCAGTCTCTCCAAGCTCCTGGATCACATGGAGGAGAGCGACATCCAGTCCATGCTCCTCCACGTTGCGATCAGGATCCGGCCCTTCTTTGACAGCGTAAGGAGAAGCCCTGGCAGTGCCAGAGAAGTGGAGCTAGTGCGTTGGTCAGTGGGTGAAGTGTCTTGTCTAGAGTGAGCTGGACCCTGCTTGATCGGGGGATGGGACCAGGAGCACAGGGCTCTTCTTGGGCACCACCAGGCGGGAAGAGGTCTGGGTGCACAGCGCTTCCAACTGAGGTGCTCTGATGGGCTCCAAGTGTGGGGCTCAGAGCCAAGCATGGCACTTAGTAAGGACAGCAAGATGACTGGGAAGCAGAGGGGCCCTTTGGGTGAATTTACACCCCAGATGGAGCCTGTCCTTAGTCCCTGGAGAGTTTTGTTGCTTCCTCGTGAAGGATTGCACTGGAGATGTCTCGTCTCTCACCTCTGCTGTGCCTCCCCAGAGCAGCTGAGGACCCAGGTGGCCCAGGGATGAGGTGCTGAAGGTTTGGGACTGGCAGCAGCATTTCACTTGCTGCTTTTGGTGTCCTCAAGCCTCAGGAGTGGAGCAGGGAGGTGGGCAGCAGTGACTGTGGCACGTATGCCCCCAGGCCAGGGCTCAGGTGGGAGATGACTGTCACAGAGGAGTGGCCAGTACTCCCTGACCCTCATCCCCTCTGCTTGCAGGAGCAGCCCGACCTCCGCAAGTCGTCCATTGTGCTCTTTGGCAACCTAACCAAATTCAGCGAAGGCAACTGCGAAGTCTTCTTCGAGCAGATCCTCAACGGGCTGGTGACGCTGCTGCTCCACCTCCAGGACCCAAAGCCAGAGGTGGTCAAAGTAAGTGCCTTGTTGACAACCTCTGGCTGATGGCATCCTGCCCCATACTGCCTGGCAGGTACCAGGGTCCTTTGCCTCGGTGTGGGCCAACCTGCCCACTGCCTTGGGGAGACTGCTGGGTGTCGAGCTCTCAGATGCATGCTGCGGCCTCCCCCTCTCTGTGCCGCAGGCCTGCAAGTTTGCTCTGCGCATGTGCGGCCCCAACATGGGCTGTGAGGGGCTCTGCGACATGTTCCTGAATCACCTGCGGGAGGACAGGAGCCTGCACTACGGGGAGTTCATGAACAACGTCTGCAAACACCTGGTGAGCGGCAGGGGGGGAGACCCCCGTGCCAGCCGCTCCGGCAGTGGAGCTGGCTCCTCGCTGGCTGCCAGCCCTGTCCACAGGGACCTCTGGGTCCTTCAGTCCTTGTGGGGCAGTTTTCCCTGGGCCCAGTTACGTTCCTGGGATAACACGCAGCCTGCCCAGGACCTCTGTGCTTCTGGGAGGTGGTGCTGGTGCTGCAGGCAGCTGGTCTTGGGTCCTTAGTGATCTCCTGTGGTCCCTCTCCTAGATGCAGAGCTACCCAGAGATGCTGAATCGCCTCATTTCAACCAACCTATTCTACTTCAAGAGCACCTGGGTTGACATCAGAGCAGCTGCGCCCATGTTCATTGGTAAGGCTGCTCCTGAGACCCTCCTTGTGCTTAGTGTGGGCTTCCTTTCTGCAGAAGTTTGTGTGCATGGCTATTCGTGCTGTCCGGGGAAGGCCTGGTGGTCCCCGCTCTGCTAGCGAGGCTGCTGGAAACGGCTGGCATCATCTGGTGCCTCGATACCCTGCAAAGCTGCATCTTGCTCTGCCCTGGCCTGGGGACAAGCATGCTTGTCATGTGCCTGGGTAGTGCCAAAACCACAGAAACTTTTTGGCAGCCATTTGTCTCCAAAGCCCACTGGATGTGTGGCATCTGCTGTGACCAGCTTAGTTGGAAAGCACATGACCGGGTCTTACCATGGTCTGGGTGACAGTCCTCCATCTGCAACTCGTATGAAGATCTACTGTCTTGCAGAAATAGTGGCCTTGGGCTGCACGCTCTACTGGACCTGACTGGGGTGGAATAAAACCAGTTTTTCCCATCGTTTTAATGGTTCCCACGCTCAGATCGGCAGTGGGTTTTGCTGTTTTTTCTGCCAGCAGAGCTGCCTCAGCTCCTTGCTGTCAGCGCAGAGCGTTTCTTCAGTTGTTGCTGAGCCCCAGAGCAGAGAGTGCGTTCAGGCAAGGATCGTCCAGCAGTTGCTCCCTCTACCGCGGCCGTTCCCCTGTAAACCGGTAGCAGCCGTAAAACGCAGACACATCCTAGCTCCAAGGGGCATCTGTGGCCACTGCTGAAGGAAGCATCAAGCCCATCTCTGTAGTTCCCAATTCCCTCTTGAGGATGGGGAGATCATGCCCAGCCTTGCCTTCAGCCATTTCGCATGCCTGAGACTGCGAGTGGTGTGTAGCATTACGCTGCTTTCGGTAGAGACCCCGAAGAGCTCTTCCATCAGCTGAACTGCAGTCAGATTTGCCCATTAACGCTTTACGAACAGCGAGGTATAGGAGCTGCAGCAGGGAGGAGATCTGCCGCTCCTGCTCCCCTGGTAGGGGTGGTCTCAGGGCACGCGTTGTGTGCACGCACGCGTGACGCTCCCCACGTGAGCCGTGTTGCAGCGTTTCCGTGGAGACTCCGCACAACACGTTAATGGCACAGATGAGTGACTTGGCACCCAGAGTGCCTCTGTTACCTCTTTCCTCAGATTTAGGGATTCTCAGTGGGAGCCAGACCAAGCCCTGACTGTGAAATTCTTCCTCAGGCTTTCTCGTTCTGCACGTGGACGAAGACCACTGTCAGCAAGTGGACCTGGACCAACTCATTTCCTGTGAGCAGGAGTCGTTCCCCTCCTGCCTCCTGCATCCTTCCAGGAGCAGCGGGCTCGGAGAGCCGGCCCGGCCGGCCGCACTGGGGCCGTGCCGGGGGGCCGGGGGCGGGGGGGCTG